TTAATGGATTTTGTAGCTGTGTGCCATTTCTTCACTTTATACGCCACCGTTCGTGTTGAATACAAACCAATCCCAGCAATATCCAGCACCACACCCTGTTCGCGTAGTCCTTTGTATTCTGCTTGCAGTTTTGCGACTTTTCCACTGCATGTTCGAATTTGTTCGGGACGTAAAATTCTCGTTATAGAGTCCGATTGTATAACCAGCTTCGTTGGTGGTAGGCTGGATACGGTTCGAGCTGTAGGCGCCTTAAACTTGAAGCTTGTGTCAACCATCTTGAACTTTGTGAGAACAGCAGCCGCGGATTCGTATGTAGCGTCGATAGATAACACACTTTCAGCTGTGGCAAGGCTTAAATTTGCCGCGTAAAGTTCCTAGTCTTCTTTCGCCATATCAACAGCTTTTTTGCGGGCTGCTTTCTTGGCTTTGGGGGTTAGCTTTGGCCTTCCTTGTGACCTCGGAGGACTTGCGATTTCAAACGGCGTGTCCTCTGCAGCTGCCTCTAGGGGCGCGTTTAAATTTCATCGCTAATTAGTAAAGCTCCACAATCTCCACGTGAACTCTCATTGCCTATACCGCTCGATTCAATCGTTTGTGAAGACTCTCCAAGCTCTACCCACAATGGCCCGATCCGGCCCGACTGATCCGACTCATCCGACTGCCCCGACTGACCAGACCGCTCTGACAAGTTTGCTATGTGATTATCCTCCTCTCTTGCCGTTGCGAAAGCTGTGACTTCTTCGCTTGGCTCGGAAACGCATGTAGCTGGTACAGATGTGTCTGGTAAAAGCTCCTCCGGATCGGGCTCGCCCACGGCTCGGGTAGGATCTTCGAACTCACCTCTCTTGAAACGACCTGCCACTTCTTGAAGGTACTGCATGGCATCTTGATACTGTGCCATACCCAGTCCAGCCATAGTGTCGCAAATTTCGGATGCAATAGGTAAGGCTTCTCTATACTTGCGATTTGAATCCCAAGGTCGATTTCGAGCAGGCAGAACATTCTTCACTTCGAACGGCTTCGGTGTAGAGACGTGATTACTGGTACCGTTGTTTTCAATTGCCGACCGCACGGTAGATATCAGCCATCTCTTGTTTAGCGTGAGGGTCGGAATAACAGTTTCTTGGCCCAAGGCTTTGCGGAGGTAAAATACGTGGCGGCATGGCAGCAATCGCGTGCACATGAACAGGCAAGAGCACGTCCAGTCGCACTTTGTAACGGAGTATTCTGTGTCGACCTCATCCAGTGCATCGATATCCTTGCACGTACTCTTTATCAAGTACACACCGGGCAGCCGCTCAGAGAAGGTATACGCCGCTCGTCCGAGAGCAAAAGAATACTGCCCGTAAATAAGATCACAGGCGTGTTCGCTCACAATATTTGCCAGCCAGGTCATTTCTCCATCGTAATTTGGGTGCTGTACGTTCACGTTCTTCGTCACTTCGCCGATGAACAACTTTTCTTGTAGTGTTTGATAGTACATCATAGACGCAATACACTCATCGACAGACATGAAAGAATCCAACCACGCTTTTAATTGCTTCCATGAGGCTTCCAGCCTGTTGTTTGTGTTATTTCCGAGTGTAATCGTATTTGGCGCTTGTACGCACACCACATCTCACGGCAATTGTCCCAATTCCGGCGGAAATACGCCACAAATGGATGTTCTTCGTCGCATCGAACGGGTTCTCTCGTTGGCGTTTGGTCTGTACTCGATTTCGCATGCCCGACTGCACCAGACTCACCCCCGACTGCACCAGACTCACCCCCGACTGACCCCGATTGACGGCCGTCTAAGTTCGGTTCACTCCCAGTTGGCTCCGGCACATTAGACGCTGGGACGTAATAGCCAATTGACGCGAGGTGGACCATGTACCGCAAATGCTTCTCGTATTCTGCTTCAGTCTTTGCGTACACCAGTAAACTCATCGCACCTCCAAGTTTCTCCTTCTGGGTCTTCGAAAATCCATAGTCAGCCGAGGCAATTTTTTCACGTAGGTATTTCAGTACGTGAAATTGGCAGAGCAAAATAGTCACTCCAGAAAAAGCTTCTTTCAATACTGAGATCTCCGTGAAATCCTTATCCACAAGAACACACTGCAGCCTTTTCCACGCTGGATTATTAGCTTTGAATTCCTCCAGCGCCGTCAGTAATGTAGTGTATCGCTCGTTTTGAAGCAAAGCGTGCTGGACGAACTGCCCCTTACCAAACGTGTCATGAGCCATAAACGAAAAGACCTTGTACTTAGACCGATTCGTTCCGTGGGTGGCGTCAATCAAAAGAACTTCAGGAAACTGCTCGAACAGAGTCCTCATATGATTCGTCTGCAGGGTGATGCAAGTCGCCACTTTCTGTATGTTCAAAACACGATAAACATAGAGTTAAGTTTTCATCTTTTCAATTCAACCCAAATTATTCACACCAGTTACCTTCTGATTTATATCGTCGAGGAAAATCCGACCAACATTACCAGGGCGGTCACCAAATTGCTTCATCCACTTCTTCAACCGCTTTTCACTAGTGCTCGGGCCATCTCGCAATTCCCGAGCCTTCAACTTACGAATAAGATTGTGGACATCCTGCGAAGTCGGGTTGCTGTCCGAGTTTTCCGTAATGTACTTCATGATACTCGACTTCTTAGCACCAGCCTGTCGAAGTACATCCACTGTCTGTAAAGCATCCTCATTTAGTACAAGACGATTTGTTGGATGTGCTCTAAACGAATGGCTCGAAAGCCGATGATTGTGTTCCAGTCGGCATCTCGTTATCCTCACAGCGAAGATCATCTTCTCAGAATCCACCACCTGAACACAGGCATTTATCTACACATAATCAATCACATAGAGAGTGGTAAGACCTCATTTGGATTTCCATCACGACCAGACAAGTCTCAATCCCGATCGAACGAACCCGACTCTCAATCCCAATCGAACGAACCCGACCAAGCCCGACCGAGCCCGACCGAGCCCGATCATTCACTTTACCTGGGCATTGCATCCTTTCATCCTAGACTCCTGCCGGGGTCTCTTGCTCGTGGCCTGGGACTTAAATTTCCCGGAATAGGTGCAAACAAAGGTCTTTGCGTATTGCACCCACTCGTCAGGAAGTTTTTCCGCCTTTGACTTTGTGCGGTCGATCCGTGCGTTGCGCTCTGCCACAGTCGTATTTGTCCTCACTCTGAAAATCTACAGATAAATTCATAGTGCATGTCAGCCAAAACGGATATACACAGCTATAGAAAACACGTGCTTGGAAACGTATGTGCTTGGTATACGGCCAGATAGTCTTCAAACACCTCCCAGGAGGGAAACTCAACCCTCTTATGCGCCAAGGCGAGTACGCGGACGGAGCTACCACCTTCGCTTGTGCTGCTGGTGGATTCCGGCGGATCGGAGCAGCTCACTGGCTCCAACGGAATATGTGTCGTATTTAGCTCACTCACGACGGGGGAAGGCGCCCAGACGTCAGCAGGAGGCGCATCCGAACTATTACCCTCGCTCTCATCGGACTCCCACTCAGCTGAATGAGTAAGAGGGCGCTTTTGCGCTGCGCGCGTGCGGAGATCCATGCTTGTCGCTCACGCTCTCCCCGTTAACGAATTGTGTGGCTCACGGTGGTATACGATATATACTGTTGTACGGATGAACCAGCTCGGTAAGAGAAAGGGATGCGTAGGGGAAGGGCAATCCCAGTCGGGCAAGATACCCACTCTCTTTTTCATTTGTAAAATGTAAGAGTTCGATACCTACTTTTTTGTGCACCACACCATGATGGGGTTGAATTAATCCCTATTGGGCTGTACCACTACCAGGATTATTTGGCCGCCAGCTTGTGTTTTGGAAAATGACAGAGATCGCTTTTTATAATCAATTCTGATAACTCACACTCTCATGCAAAAAAGTGTATCATAGTGCGAAACGACAGTCGAGCTATTTCTAATCTGTTGAACACTTCTTCTACTCGCGACAAGATCACTTATTGACCGCTGGGGTGAGACTGTCGCTAGTTAATCAATTGCTCGTGAGCCATAGCGACATAGCCTTTGATCAGCACAGCAGCAAATTCCAGTGATTCCGTTGGCGAAACCTCCCTCGGGCTGCTTTACTATTCAAGGCTAAAGACGGACGTCGGGCCTCATTCACCAACACGCCACACACAGCAAGACTCCACACTCGCCGACAGTGCTAATGGGTCTCACGAGCAGGCTCAAGGATCATCGCGGTCGTGACTACGCGGTCTCGTCACACGTGAAATCCTCCAGAACCGAGTTCATCCCGGCCCCGATGCAGGAAAGCGATGAGTTGGACGCCGAAAATAAGCTCAACGCGGCCCTAAAAGACGATGAATTGCTGAAACGGGCTCGAGAAGCCCATACCAGCATCGATTTTGGGTCGCTGGCCGCAGCTCCAGAGACCAGTGGGGAGTGGAAGCGCGTGGAATCGGTTGATGGCTTCGCAGTCTTCCGTCGATTAGCCACGATGAGCAACAACGGCAAGCGAAGGGATGGGCTGGAGGTCATGTGCATTGGTCGTGTGGATGCTAGTGTGGAAGAGATCGCGAGTATCCTTCGCTCGAGCTCCGAGGCTGAACACAACACGGTGATGAGTGGGTTGTACGCGAAGAGCTTCATCTTCGGATCCTATGAACGTGAGGTGGCGTGCTCTGAGAATCAAGACGAAGACGACGACGATGACGTTGACAACGACGAACAACTCGCGGTCAAGACCAAGAGTTTCTCTCGCACGACCATCTTGGGGCACAACGAACAGTGGTGCTACTTCGACTACTTCCAACGCACGAAAGAGCACGGAGGCTTCACGATCTCCAAGCGTGCGTTACCTCCTTCAGAGGGTACTCCAGGACGCATCGCTGGAGACCATTCCCGTGTGGATCAACTGCACGGATTGAACGCTTCGTACCTCGTCGACAAGATCCCCAACCAGAAAGAACTACGTGTAGTATTCCACGCGTGGTTTGAGATGTCAGAAGAGGAAGTACAAGAATACTATTCCCGCAAACGGAAAGGATCCCGACGCAGGAGCTACGAAACCACACGCTCCCAAGACAGTGCCAGCGCTTTCCAACGCTCTAAATCATTCGATCAAGGTGATAACATCAAGTACAGATCCCAGCTTCGTCGATTACTGGCCATGGCCCATGGTGTCACCAAACTCCCCACTGTGGTGCGTCGTCGTCGCTTCGGTGCTCAAGTCCCAGTCGATGTAAACACTGTGCATGTTTCGAACACTCGCTGCCCGTGCTGCACTCACAGCTTGAAGTTATCGCTGGCAATGGCAGCGTCGGCAATCACCACCCTCAATCTCGGGTCGCTGAAGTCGAACACCAAGCGCTGCTACTTGTGTGGGTATCTCGTCTGTGTGGACTGCTGGAACTCGGAGACCATGGAGTGTTCAGCTGGACGAGTAGCTGCCATTGTCGTATGCACGAGATGCCGTGCGAATGTTCAAGCTTGCGAATACTCCGAGGTGTTCGCTGGCACGTCCGCACAGCGAGAGAAACACCGTGGCCCACCTCGTGTTGTCGAGGACTCGTCTAACGCTCCGACTGTGTCATTACTAGTCGATTTCCTGTCTGCTTCGCTCCTGAACTCTGACGCTGGCAGCTCCGAGCATGCGGCCGTGATGACTGTGATTCGGACTCTTCTCCGACAGGATTCGGAAGATTCCGAAGACGATTCCGACGACGACTGTAGCGACGAAGACAGAAGCGAGTTTGACCGCAATGAACCCCGTTTCAAGATACTTGGCGAGACCGACGCCGTGGAAAAGATAAGCCAAGTGTTAAGTGACAAGGAGCATCTGCCACCTCTTGAAGAGTGCAAGCTTGGGAACGCTGCGGAGAGGAATTACGTTTTGGATCTGCCGGTCGACCCCAAAGCCGCTGTACCTCTTTCCCCAATCCCAAGCAACGAAGCTGATCGAATCGCCAGCTCAAAGGCTTCGGGGATTCTACAACTCGCTGGTATTCTAGCCCCCAAGGAGAAAAACGAAGACGCGAAGAGTGACGACAAACCGGATATTCAAGACCTGGAGCTGCTGTGTAGTTTGGCTGTCAAGACGATGGGCTGCTCGTATTCCTTCGTGACGGTCATGGGTGAAACGGATGAGCACGTGTTGGCTAGTACACATCCCGATTTCGCTGGTGCCGTTGTGCCACGTGAACAGACGACGTGTCAGCACTTGTTGATGTCGCCACACCCATTTATGGTAGCGCACCATGAAGCCGATGTACGCTTCCAGAACCATGGACCGACCTCGTCAATCCCTATTCGGTTCTACGTTGGCTTCCCTGTTAAGGTTCCGCTCGTTGGAGGCAAACCTGGCGATCCGGAGATGATCGCGGCGACGCTGTGCTGCGTCGACACGAAGCCCCGAGTTGAGATCACTCGCACTCAATACGCGACGATGACGCGACTTGCAAACACTACCAGAACTTTTCTACTACAGAAAAGTCAGCAACTTCAGCTGGGGGAAGATCGAACTAAATAACTTGGTATCCATAGTATTGATAACATATAATTCGTGTCCTGATATTGGTCTGGTAGAGTGTTCAGACAGCTGTGATGTTGAAGTTTCCCATCTCATAGGTATTACACTTGCTCAAGCCTCAGTAAAACATTTTTTTCGTAAGACGCAAGTCTGAAACTCTTAACTTGCGCCTGTAAGGTTTTTGGGAGAAACTAAACAAAAGATTTAGAGGCTCTTCTGCTGTTTTATCTAACTTTAGATATTTGCTATCGAGAGAAACCTGTTATCAGTGCATAACCAGCCTAGCCTAAATCGAGAATGACTAAAATTAATATCCAAACGATCTCATCTTTGGAATAGAAATCGCCCGAACATCCCCCACAATGCACTTGCCCACCTCTCACCCTCCGCTACTTTATCACGCTCCAAAACCGAAAAGGCAATCGGCTGAGATCATCACAGTATCATCTATACTTTTTTCGAATGGGGTTTACCAAGGTGCGAGGCATTTTCGAGACGAACAAGCCTCGTCACGGTTGGGGCAGCTCGCAGTCTTCCGAATCGAGCAGGAAACAGTCCCGGTCTCAGCAAAGTAATGACCTTGAACAAGAATTTGACGAGGCGATCCTGTACAAGCTTCCTTCTGACACCGACATGCTTCAAAGAGCTCGTGAGTCTCATACGAATGTCGACTTTGAAGCACTTTCAACCGGTCCAGAGAAGGGTGGACCATGGCAACGCGTGGAAACAACCGGTGAATTCATCGTGTTTAAACGTCCACCGTCGGCAGATACCAAAGACAACCGGCTACCAGGACTAGAGGTCATGTGTGCCGGACAGCTCGATGCTAGTGCTGAGGAAGTGGCAAGTGTGTTCCGCTCAAACTCCGACGTCGACCACGCCAACACTATGGAGGGGCTTTACAGCAAGACCTTCATCTTCGGATCCCTCGATCGTGAGGTACCGTGCTCGGGGAATTCTCAAAATCAAGACGATGACTCGAACGCTAACTCGAACGAACAGCTCAATGTCAAGACCACCAGTTTCTTACGCTCGACACTCTTCGGTCGCAACGAACAATGGTGCTTCTCGGATTATTTATTACGGTTAGAGGAGAGTGATGGCTTTAGGATAACCCAATGCGCTTTGCCTCCTTTTGAGCCTACTCCCGGTCGAGTGGTAGGAGAGAACGCACGTGTTGATCAACTACACGGTTTGAATGCGTCATATGTGGTTGACCAGCTACCGGACGATAAAGGGCTTCGAGTCGTTTACAACGCCTGGTTTGAAGATCTCGTGGAGGGACATTGAGGCTACCACCTCCAGTAGTGACGCGAGTTTATCTAGTC